GACTTTGACAAGGGCCAAACTGTGATGGTGAGATGACTGGGTCAGATCATCTCCTACACTACAGGTCTTGGTGGGTGTTGTTGGTCTGAAGTGGTTAGTAGCTACCAACAGTGTCTAAGGAAGGACAAATGGTGAACTGGAGACAGGGTCATGGACGCCCACAGCTCACTGATGATGAGGTTGACCTACTGTAGATTAAAGCTTTAACTTCCATTTGTACTTTTCAAAAGATTAAAATGTATTAAAATGTATTTGAATCTTTGTTAAAATGGTTGAAAATGAGAAACACTGTCCATTGGTCTCTATGAAGAGAAAGAGTCAGGGGCTGTAGTGGTGATATCACACCTAGAGTGGTGAGGCTGTTGGATTGGTCTAAACAATTCTCTATAACTCGTCCTCACGACCACAGTTTTCACTCCTTTTACATTCGTTTTTCACTGAATTGTAGACACATCTGTGCTCTTCCTGACAGTAGAACTGGTAGTAAATGGATTCACAGAAGATGCACAGTGAGCTGCAGAGTGACATGAGGGCCAACCAACTGCCACACTGACTCCTATGTAAACAGTATTGAATCAGCAGGTGGTCATAATGTTATGGCTGATCGGTGTATAGTATAATCAGACAGTAACACATTGTCTGTTGGTTTGAATCCATTTTCTGCCACACTGGAAAGACAAATCATTTTTGACTTTAGAAGCAGTAGTTTGTTTGAAAAGACAAGTCCACTGGAATTTAACCACATCTCATGGTCTTCATGATTTCAGGGTCTTGAACCCTGCTGTGGTTTACACATACAGTATATGTTGTTAGATGAGACCTCGTCAAACATACGATGTAATGCAATGCCCTTTTGATTCCAGGTGAACCTTTTCTTCCTTTTGAACATTGTCCGAGTTCTCATCACCAAGCTGAGAGTGACCCACCAGGCTGAGTCCAGCCTCTACATGAGAGCTGTGAGAGCCACCCTCATCCTCATCCCTCTGCTCGGCATCCAGTTTGTCCTGCTTCCATACAAGCCCCAGAATCCCTGGGTCTTGGAGATCTACCTGTACATCATGGACATCCTGATTCACTACCAGGTCAGTACATACTATATGTATGAGGATGTAACTGCAATCAGTTCAGATAGTTGAACCAAAGTTAAGCACAAAAAAGAAGAGGAGGGGAGAAACAAAGCATTTTTCATTATCCAGTGTTAACAGAAAAAAACAATTTAAATTCAAATGATTAAAAGCTATTTTTTAAACAATGATTTGATCCATGTGGCAATAGCCTCAGTAATGCTGCAATGGACAAATATTTTCCTGATATACTGTAGTAGGAGCATGAGACACTGCAGACTTCTGTGTCTTCTCTTCTTGTGTAACTTCTGAAAAAACTTTGTTTGCCAATGCAGGGTCTCTTGGTTTCTACAATATTCTGCTTCTTCAATGGAGAGGTGAGTAAGGACTTTGGTTCAGTGTTTTATATTGCAAGGTTAGGTTAGTTGATGGGTTTTCCCCAGAGGTGAGATTCAGTATGAACTGTATGTTCTTTTTAAACTGTAGGCCACATTACTATCCTTCTAATATCGTCTTTATGAATCCTCCGGTAGGTTCAGAGTGTACTGCGGAGACATTGGAATCAGCAGCGTATGCAGTTTGCTGGAACTTTTGCAAATGCTGACTTTTTCCGCTCAGCTTCCTATGTGGCATCATCACTCACAGAGGTCCACCGCTGCTACAGCCTCGAAAGCCACACTGAGCACATAAATGGCAAAAGCTACTCAGATATATTCAGATCAGACATGTGAAGGTGGCCCTCAACATCAGGCTCTTGAGTCATGGACCCCCCATTTTTTGACTCCTTCCAAGATGTTATGAAGTTTGAAGTGGATGTTTTCTTGGAGTTATGCAACTGTTCTTGGAAAGTGAATACATTTTTACATCTCCCAGGCAGAAACTTACATATTTTACTCTTTTATAAACTTTTTTTAAACAAATATTACTAAAACAGATTTTGTGAATATTGAAAGCATCTGCTGGCAGACTTGAGGAAGACCCCATGAATCAACCAGCCTCAATATATGACATTAACACAAGTGGATCATGTGGAATAAACTTGAAGACCCCTCAGAGAACAAGAAGCTGTTGTGTTTACAGCTATGTTCTTTTTTTTTTTCCCCTGGACATTTTGAGGCATGTAACTCTGTGGCAGAACTTCTTTGTGGCCAAAATAATCTCTTCAGTTAATGCAAACATTACTGGGCAGGGTCAGAGACACATCTGTTTGGAAGTGGCTAAATGGTGCCCACTCACCCATTTTATACCTTCAAGACAGTAGCCTAAAGGAACGAATGACCATGAATGATGTCATTAGTGGAAACAAAACTGGATATGTAACATGCAAGAAAAAATAAGAAATACACAACTAGCTTGCTATGCTAAATGCCATTTCTGCCTTAGCCACCTTTGACTTGAAGCATGAAACTCAGAAAATGTGGAGAAAGACCCCTTTATGTGAGTCTTCAATTTATGTATAACATCCACTGTTCTATATTAGACAAATAATGACATTCACAGTATAATTTTGTCAGAAACATCAACTTACAGTACACTATTTGGCATACTATTAGGAATGCTTCAAAACGGATTATTCCAAAATGCTGGAGAGATGAGTGTGGGAGAAAATAGGGAGAGGAGAGTGCATGTGTTTGTACATATATTTAATTGTTTATGAATACAACATATATTAAGCCACAAACTATGAACTAGAGCATTTTACTTAAACTACCATTAGTGTACCTTGTGTAGTTTTCCAGTCAGTCAGCAGCACATCACTGCAATGCCCCAAACTGAAGCTTGTATAAAAGGTATGAAGAGTCAAGATTTCTTTTTTTTTTAGATTTTGGTATAATGCAGCAGGAACTGACTTATACTGATTCACTGATTTGACACTTTACATTGATAATTAGCATCAGCACTGCTACTTCCAATAACATCCAAACACTGTCACTTCCAATTAGAGTTATTGTAAATGTTCTTGTCAGGAGGAGTGAAGAGCTGCTGGTTTCAGCCTTCAAAAACAGGAATTTCAGATCACTCACCTACTGTATTCACTTTTATTCTCATTAATTTGCTTCATGTAGACTAGAAACAAGGAGGAAATGACCTGGCTCTGACAAAAACTAACAAAATTTGCCTACCAACATCTCTAAAGCCCACTAAAAAAGCACATTCCACAAACTAGTCCTTTAAACAAAGAGACATATCTAATAATTTGCAGTCATATTACTATTTTCATTGGCTACACTGGAATAATAATCTGTCCAAAAATCCTCATTTGTTTGTTAAAACATTGAATTTTCTGTGATTTTTTTAGTTTTTTTAATATTTATTTATTTTATTATTTTGTTTTTTTACATGTGAACCAATATCAGTAATTTCACTGTGGGCCCAGTCTGAATTTCATTTTCCTTTTTGTACCATATTTTTCTCAATAAAATCCTGGCAATGCCTCCTGACGCTATGATGCTGTAAATAAAAACAAGCTGTTTTAAGCCAAGATACAGCACCAGAAGTCACTATAGTTGCATTTCATCCCAGAAGTTTCTTTTTCAATATGTTTTATGCTTCTGTTTAACTTCCTCCAAAGATAAATAGAAGAAAATGTGTAACAGTTTTTTGTTTTCCCACATATCTAATTGAGGCTGGAATTTCTTTGTCTGACCTTAGAAAATGTGTCCTGCTGCATTTTTTCCAGACAAAGCAGGGCGTGTTTCTGTCTGTTCATTGGCCAAAATCTATATGTAATCGGTACAGTTAGGAAGTCCCAAAGGAAAAGTGTTATAGCTCTCCTTTCAGTGCATCACTTATCAACTTGAAAGTGGAGAAGCTGTGAAAGTACTGAACATGCCAGCTGGTAAATACATCCATCTGTAAACAAGACTTGGTGATCAAAAGCATGTGTGAGCTGTGTGCTGGTTTATCATTGCACATAATATTTATGAGCTACTTGCGTGCCTCATACTCATGATCTCAGTCCACAAAGGTCTCTGGTATCTGTGATTTTAGGCAGTGTACGAAGCATCATCACAGTAAGAATGAAACCATCCCCTGCCATGTAATTTCGTGCAAAACACACTGAATCTTTGACATTTTAACAGTACATACAGCACACTTCTAACTTGCATCCTGTTACATCAGCATAACAGATGGTGTAGTATCCTGTGTGATTTGGGATGACACGTTTCCTTTAAAACTGAGATAAAAATAATGCTGAAATCTAAACTTGAAGCATCTGCATTGCAAGATGTTTTTGCTTTTTTACCTATCACAACACCATCCCCCAGTTGGTTATGGCACCAACCCCCTCAGTGGAAGTCAAACCAGTGGATGTAATAAGGGTTTCCTGTTTCTAAGAATACATTGCCATTGAACTTTTGGTCCGTTGGCGCTTGTGTGTTTGTAGAAAACACTTCCTCAGTTTCATGACTAACACTTGTTTACTGCCTTATCTTCCGCGTGATTCCACTGAAACTTAAAGCATTTAGCTGATGTTTTGTATTCAGATGAGTTTCCAACATGCGAGTCAGATTTGTCAAGGACACAGGACACGGCTGTGAATAGAGGCACAGCATCTGTCAGACTGCCACATGTGCCCCACTGGACAGTGACAGTGTAGAAAATAATTACGTTGTGTAGAATTGCTCCACACTGTGCTGACCCCACTTGGCTTTAATTTGGCATTTACTGTAGCTGAAACACTAATCTAGAGTGAGAAGCAGGCCATTATGAGCATACAGTAACACACACTAACTCAGCATTTCTTAAGACTTCACTACATTCCTGAGGCCCTCAGATGGTACCAACGGTCAATAATAGCCTAATAAGGAACAAATGCTTATATTTAACAGAGAAGTTAGCAAAAGCTCCATGTAAACACTAAACAAAAGCTAAAGTCTGGTAGCTACTATGGTCAGAATACTGGGTCCTCCACTAATGGCAGCACCTCACCTGGCTCAAGGGCAAAGTATGCCAATATATTAGGTTACAATTGTGTAAAGACAGCTGTTGCTGTATTTCATATTGTGTTTCTTATATTGCAACTCCATATTCAAATGCCTGCAGCAAATACCTTGTGATTTCTCATAGTAAAAAATATGTTCATGCATGTAATATATATGTAAGCATAATCTCTCTGAATCTGACACCACTGGTGTCATCAACAGCCATGTTTAACAAAAAGCTTGAAGTGTTCATCTCATCACAGTCCCTTCAGCTACTCTAAGTAACAGAAGCAGAAGTATCCACCCTAATTCAGGTTCTAAAAGGCCATACGTGAGCAGAAACTTGAAGAAAACCCCAAAACACCCTATTAGTTGGTTGTTGCTTTTTGAATTAATGTAATATAGAACTTAGAGCAAAATGTCAGAGAAAGTGGAGTCTAGACACTTGGCTTTCTGAGTTTATGAGCCATTAGAATGGATTCTTCCTTCCCAAAAGAAGGAAGCATCCTATTTGTCACAAGTCTAGGCACATCCTTGGAAAAAATCCTTGGTTGCACAAAATATAATGCACTTCACTTTCCCAGCAAGAGTAGAGGTGGTATGTTAGGAATGCATTAAAGGTCAAACTGAGTTCTCCACTGAAGACAGCACCACTGTGAGAAAGCTTGCCCACAAAAAGCAAGAAGGCATCATATCATACACATCATCAGGAAAAAACAAATCAGCATTTTGTGTGTTGCGACTTTCACTTACTGTTTTGAACTTTAAAACTACATGCTGCAGCCATTTCCAGTAACTCCACGCCATTAGAAACTCTCACTGTTCACAAAATATTTTAACAATTCTTTGCCATGCACTGTTGCACACACATAGCATGCACACATCTGGCCCATAGCGTGATCTGGCCACTTGTGCATGGGAATGTCTCATTCTTGAGAACAATGGAATGAGTTCTTGGCTGTGCTTGAGGGTGTGGAGGGTGTACTTTCAAGGGGTTGGGGTAGGCAATGTGGCCTGGCTGTATGGATGTGCCTGGCCTGGGTGGGACTACAGGAAGTCTACTGATCACTGTAGAGCCCGTTCAAATCGCTGCAGGGGTATGAATTATCTTAGCAGTGATGTCAACACTTGGTTGTCTTGGTGTATCTGGAGAAATTTCAGGATTAAATATGTGAATGCACAATGTGGAAACATACAGTGCAATGTTTACATTCAATGCTAATGCTTGGCGCCAATGCTGGCGGTCCTGTGCTCTTTACCATCCATCCATTTTCCTCCGCTTATCCGGTACCGGGTCGCCGGGGCACCAGT